TAACCTTTATAGGTTTATTTATTGATTTTTAAAATTTTCCCGTTGGCTGTTTTAATTTTTCACCTATTGAAATTAATTTATATGTTAAAACTTCACATTTTGTTTAATTTCTAATTTAGATTAGTTGAATATTTATTGCTGGTTTACGTTCACCGATGAAAATTGATTCTGCTATCTTCAAATACTTCAAATCGAAGATAGATAGCAGAATCAATTTAGATTAGTGTAAATGTTGGAAGTAAAATACTTTAAAAACAGTGATGTTGCAATGAATTACATTGTAATACTTTACAGCACGTGACATTACAGTAAAACTTTTTCATGGCATTACAATCAAATTACATCACACCCACCCGTCGAATTCTCAATATTCTATACCGAAATATTATTACTTAGACATCTTTAATCTTTATTTTTTGAGGGATTTCAATATTTTTTTTACCAATTTAAAAGTTAGTTTCAATGCCACAATTCTCTTTTGTTATTTGTTTCCAATGTACTTATGACTATATATAAATAAAATTTAGATATATATATTTATATATATATATATATATATATATATTCCTACATATTCATATAAAATCATATGTAAATATGTTATTCAATTGTATTATATTATATGTCATTAACTTTTTTTATAATTTTAAACACCTTTATGATTGCTTTATATGGTGGATTGCTTTTTATGGTGTGTGCGTGTTTGTGCGTGTGTGAGTGTGCGTGTGCGTTTGTGTAATATATTGTCGGTTTATCATATTTGCTGTTCAAATGACCTCCTAGTCAATTCATTTTCTGAGAAAAAAAAATTTTTTCTTCATATTTTTTTGTCTCTTTCTGACAATTTTTCAATTCTGTGTCTATTGATCGTTGAAGTTTGCATTGAATTTTTGACATGATTTGAAAATAAACACGTTTTTCATCATTTTCGTTGTGTCTTCTCTATATCTCAGTATAAATAAGTTATCAGTCTGGGTGTATGGCAGTCGTTATGTTTTAAATTTAGTCGGAAAAAAAATTTCAAACAATTTTACACTGAATTTAAGTATGCTGCATATGTTCAGTTTAGAGGTTAACGGTATTGGAAGGTGAGGGATTGTGCCAAAACTAAGTCGCCTGGAACTGGTGCTGTTGCGCATGGGTTTTAATAAACAACTAATACAAAAGATTTACTTTACTACAAATTATTTTCAAAACAATATAATCAAATCGAAATATTTAATATGAAACTGTCGTTGTCAATTTAAATAAAGATATAGCTTTTTGTTTAGAAAACAGAGTGGCTTACTGAAGCCATGGTGGGCTTACTTACGGAAATACATTTCTTGATTTACTTTGTATAACTTCTGTTTGGTATGTTGATTTAGCCATTATTATATGTTGTGAACTGTTCTTACAAAGTTCATATGACGTGGATTCGAGAACTTCTAAGGAGTGCATGTCATAATAGAAACAAAAAGTTGATTGAATGTTGGAAGAGACTGGACGATATAAATAGATATTAAATAGATGTTTACTCTGAGTTCTGACATGTTATAAGACTTACGATAATCTGTTTTTAACAGTGAAATTTTTAAATTGTTTCAATAAAATTTAAAAAACCTATATAATAATAATAATATAACCACAAACTAATAAGTTATCTACTCTTCTGCAACTATTGCAAAGTTAAAAATAGATAACATTGTCCGATCGCTTAGTAATGAAACTCATTCAACACGTTCACATATCGCGTGATCGAAATATATCAACCTAGAAAAAAAAATCTTTTTTTTTAATCACATTTTTTTAAAAATAAGTTACAATTGAAATGCGAAAATAACTTGAGACCAACGAAAAATATTTCGGATTTTGTTCCTTACGTGCCAAATCATTTCAATAGCGGTATAGAATGAATCATTTTTTACATGTCATGTGGATGCAGAATCGTTCGTTGACATATTTATATCAGGTTACCAACTCCATTGTCTATAGCCTGATTTATGACAGCATGCATCTTCATGCGAAAAAAATTTTTCTGCAATGACTAAGGCTAAATATAGAAAGCTTGACATGTTTTACGTAGTTTGATTTGAAAATATTCTTAAATAAACTCAATAGACATTAAATAATTTTGCTAAAAAATGCGTTTAATTGTCGTTTTAGTTTTGGCAAATATCTTGCTGTTTGCAATGTTAGCGCTCAACTCGTTAGCTTCAGCAGTTGATAAGAAGTATGGAATGATAGGAGAGCCAGACAACCCCATGTGTTTTGCTTCCGAACCTACCACAGTACTAACCAACATACGATCCTTACTGGAATGTTCTACCAAATGTAATAAAGACATCACTTGCAACGCATTCAACTACATATCCAATGATGATAGAGATCCAGCAAAGTATTGCCAACTGTTTCATTTCACTTGCGATGTTCATTTTGACAGCGTTTCAACTAGAGTTGGTTGCCAAGCTTATGAGGTTAAATTACATTAAACGTTTCTACATAACTTCACAAGAGCAAATTGAATGAATCTATAAAAAAAACTATTTAACAGGATACAGTTGCCAGACAGTCTATAAGTTAGTCGGATATCTTTTTTAGTAATGTCTTACAAATTGTAAACTGTCTATCGAAATATTTGAGACATGTTAAAAGTGGGTAGCGAAACGGTCCAACAGTTTGGGTGTTTTGCAAAGACTTCAAATGTCATAATTTAAGGGTGGGTAAACTTTATGCTGCAAGGGCCGTAGTTTTTCCACCCCTGTTATAATTAATTTAAAAGGAATACATGGAAAATATTAAATTTTTGTTGCAGTTGAAGTTTTTTATTATTTTCCATATTACGTATTGGTGAGGGTTAATGATATGAAAACAAACAAAGTTTATTTGCAATTAGAATCATCTGAAACCAGCGGTTTTCACCTGACCTTGAGCAAATCCTGCAACTTCCCATTCACCTTCAACGGTGGATTGTTCTACTCCTGTTCCAACTCACTACTTGGCATCAACAATCCTTGTGCTCTCTACATGTGTCTCACTACTGACAGGCAATTGTCTATTTGCCTTGATCCTCAAGGTTTGTCAAAGTTTCGTTTTAAGTTAAATAATGGCATTCCTCTGATGTTGAAGTGTTTGCAACTGATCATCATGATAAAAGTTACATGAGAAAATGATAAAATAACACTTAATAATTCTTAGCTTACAAAGGAGTTAACAAAACTATCCAATTGGAAATTTCAACGTTTGCTAACTCAACTCCTGTCACGTCTGTCAATGGATGGATTGTCATTCAGCAGAGGATTGATGGCTCGCAGAGTTTCGATCAAGATTGGGACACGTACAAGGTGTGTCGTCGTTTACACTGCAATTAAAATATTCGAAACATTTGTGTGAATTTTAAAATAATTAAAATATTTGTTCCTCTTTTTGAATATATTAAAAATAGTCAGGATTTGGTAACTACGATGCAAACTTCTGGCTGGGCTTGGAGAAGATGCACCAATTAACGACATCGGCTGATTACAGGTTGAGGTTTGAAGTTCTCGTCAGTGGTGTCTGGGTCTCCGATGAGTATGATCATTTCGTAGTAAGTGATCCAGTTTAGAGAATTTGTTGATAATATGTTTATTGGTTATATCAGAAGTTGTTGCTTGTCATGAGGAAAATTGGATATCATTGTTGGTGTAGCTTCTTTACGTATTTTATTTTTTTAAACTGAATTTTTGCAATCCAGATAAATTCAGAGATGGAAAAATATTCAATCAATGTTTCCGGATACAGTGGGGATAACAGCGACGTGTTGAACAATTTGCTCGATCTTAAGCTTTACCAAAACGGGATGAAATTCTCAACTCCGGAGCAAGATAACGATCTGACCAATTTTTTTAAATGCTCTTTGATGCATCATTCAGGATTTTGGTTCAATGCTTGCTACAACATAAATATGAATGGTGTGTATGGCTCAACTTTGAGGTATGTGTTAAATAGTGCAGGGATTTTCATAACATCATGTAGAATGATGATCAAATTGAATGCGTAGCATCATCCAACCTGAGTGTCGTATTTTCAGATGAAATTCTACGTCAGAAATGTTCGACATCATTTTTTTTTGTTCCTATTTGATGTAGTTTTTGACCAAGATTTCAATTTCTCTATAAATTTTTAAAAGATTCTTGCAGTTTGTGTATCAGTAGTATCACTTTTGAAACATTTTTTTTATAACTGTGTAGTGACCAAACTAAAAGTGCTTATTTATTCAGTGTATATTTCATTTTATTGAAAAGTTTTTTTTTAATTTGAAGCAAGTATGTGAAGAAGTTACTTTAAAAATTTTGATTAAAGTTTTTTCTATCAATAATAATAATAATATAAAGTCAGGTTTTTATTGGAAAAATTTGATTGAATTAATTAAAACCTCAAAAAAAACAACTTTGCAATGATCAATGAGTTCTTAAATTAAATAAATATTCTATAAACTACTTAAAAAATTTAATTAAAACCAAAAATAATAAATAAAAAAGCAAGAAAATGATATCCATAGAAAGCAGCAAAGTTAAAGACTCATTCTGTCTAGAAGTAATGAGAAATTTTAAATCTTCAAAACTATTCTTACGAAAAACTCGTTTGGAATGAGCAATGACAACATCGGCGTTCTATAAATTACGATTCCTTTTTAAAATATTTTTTGTAAATTTCAACGGTAAATTTCTATCGAATTTAAATTTAGTTTATTAACCAAAACCTTATTTGCATCTGGTCAAATGAAGATTAGACAGCACACATAGTCAGTTACAGACCTAACTAAAGAACATAAAAACCTCCCATCAAACTTATGGCAGTTGATTTTGAATTTTTTTTAGTTTTCTCCTGAGAGGCATTGATAACAAACACAGAATGTATGCAAACTCGCGAGAATCAACGCAGACGGACGGCACACGTTGCATACGAACACGGTCACATCAACACCATCGCCGAGCACTCTAACGATTGCGCCATTGATCTGCCTGTGTAAAATAATTGCAACGCTGAATTGATCTATTTATTCACGTGTTGGTAAAGTTGTTCTCATTTAATAAATAACACGAAAGCGTATTGTTTTTTTTAAAATATTAAAAAATAAAAAAAAATATTAAAATTCTTAAAGCATACAATTGATTAATTGTTTGTTTTAAGAATTTTAATATTTTTTTTAAGTTAATTGCTTTAAATATGTATCCTCAGTTCCACTCATGTTTGCTGACTTCTTCTGCAGCGGGTGTTCGGGTTCGGGTATATCAAATCCTGATATTAGATCACATATATGACATAGTAATATATATATATATATATATATATATATATATATATATATATATAATTAAGAATTAGTTGAAAGTTTCAGCGTTTACTTATTAACAGATAAACTCTGATATATTTATTTCATGTGATTCATTCTTTTGCTATGTACTAAAATTACTCGCTAAGACACATACATGCACTTATAAAAGTACGTGATGTCTCGCATAGGAGAGCAGCTAGTAAAATTGTTCATAAAGATCGTTGACCGAACATATGAAATCCTTCAGGTATGCTTGTCATGTTTTATTCATGTTACTTAGTTTATATAGTCAAGTTATTTTTAACAAAAATCATGATTGGAAAAACTTCATTGTGCAAAACATACAAGAAATGTATCTGAAGTTAAAATGTGTGTCAAAAAATTAATAAAAAATTATATATACAAATATGAATAGTTGAATACATGCTAAAAAAAGTAAAACGCTGTGTCAGGCCAACAGGCAAATAAAATAAGTTTCAGCATAAACTCATGAAAACTATATCAATAAAATTTTTATTCTTTAGCAGTGAAGATGAAAATTCACTAAATAACAAACTCTGACTCAAACGAAAATTTATAAATCTACTAAATTTTACGAAAAATATCATAGCAAAATTTATTTAAAAAGAATGGCTCACATTAAACCAGTTCATTTAGCGCAATCATCATCTCACAAATTTATAAAAAATGTTAGCCAATCAAAATCAACCAGTATTCTCCTTACATGATAGGTTTCGCCATCATCCTGTAGTAAGTAACTGGGAAAAAAATCGTAATCAAGCGATGAACCATAAGCATTCTATAAATATTTGATCTAAGAATGTTTTTCTAAGACAGTTAAATATAAAAAAACTCAACCATCACAGTCTCAACACACTTCTCGACCATAGGATAACTCCTACACCTTGCGTTTAATCATCATCCTACAATACCTAAGGGGTACGTATGCGTAGTGAAAGCGAGGGGTACCAAAAGGGCCATTCACACTTTGAGAACCACACTGGTTGAACCAATTTCCAGAAGAAAACAGCTTGTAGGAACGAGATCGTTATCTTGGTCGATGGTTGAAAACTTCATTCCGTTGTGGAGAATGTAGGTTTTCACGGTGTTCAAGACGTCGCTGAACTCCCCGCTGTATCCAGATACGTTGAGTTTGTAATTCTGAGCTGACGAACTGATCTGCATATGGAGGTGGTTTTGGAAATTTTTGGTTTTGAAAGGTTTGAAAATTCAACAAAAGCGTTACATAAAATAGGAGTGTTCATTTATAAAAAAAAATTTTAAATAGGCATTTTGATTGATGAGGACAAATCATTCTTGCTTTGCATACAGTGATCGAGCCAAAAACAAATTAACAGATAAGTTATGTTCCAATCTTTATTTTGTAATCTTTATCGGCATTTTATTTAATTTGTAAATTATTGAAATTTCTACATATTGAAAGTACAAACCACAAAATAATCATGTTCATCGGAGAACCAGGAGCCGTTGATGAGGATTTCAAACCTCAACCTGTAATCATCTGCAACCATCAACTGGTATATTTTTTCCAAACCGAACCAGAAATTTTTGTTATAAGTACCGAATCCATTCTGTCAAACAAACAATGTTTTAAATGTGTTTTTTTCAGGATGAAACGTTTATTAAGTACTACCTTATAAGCATTCCAGGTTTCATTGAAACTCGTCGAGCCATCAATCCTCTGCTGAATGACGATCCATCCGTTAACAGATGAGACAGTAGTTGGACTAGCAAACGTTGGAACGCTCAACTGGATGGTCTCATTGATTGCTCTAAAACCTGTCTCAGGCATTCAAACCCAAATTAAGCATCTGATTGTTGCAAGGAGATTATACCATTGCATCACTTTTTCAACTTCATTATATAACATATTCGTTTATGTTAAAACGGGTATCTATTTTACAAAATTCTTTAAAAAAAAATTTCATTTCATGAAACCTTCAGGGTCAATACAGATGGACACCGTCTTGTTGCCGGTGACACACATGGTCAGGGCACAAGGATTGTGGAGGTTAGGTAGTAAATTGGAAGAGCACGAGTGGAACAATCCCCCGTGAAACGTGAGAGGGAAGGTGCAGAATTTGCTCGCGGTCAGAGAAAGATTGGTTGCTTTGGAAGATTGTATTTGTTTCAAACAATGTTATTTGGATCATAAATGGCAGATAAAGTGCCGAAAATGAGTCATTTAATCAGTTGCTATCTACTTAAAATTACTAAATTGAGATTTTTTTTCTAAGTGTTCTAAAAGCAGTTGCAAATAACATCGGTCGCTCGATCCTTCAAAAATCGCATAAATAACTCGTGCAAATAAATTTTTTTGAAAATTTGTCGTATTCTTCAATTTAATAGCTATTATAATACCAAATAAAATGAAATTTGTATGTAAGGGCAAATTTCAATGTCCTCAAAAATGCAGCTCTGGCAATGACTTACGTGATAAGATATCGTTTTAAATTGTAACACTTAAACAATGAATATTTTCTGGTTTCTTTTCATAAAGTCTTCTAGACAGTATTTCAATTTTTACAAAATGTCAGAAATTAAAACTTCGCAAGATTGTGTTTTGGTATATTGAATGATAACCGTGTACTTTATATGCTAAAGCATATTAAATTTCACATAACTTTTTTAACAATTTAAACTAAATTCTAAAAGTAACTTGAAACTCACAATAATGGAAACTCAAAAGGTTTTGGTTGGCTGTACAAATTTTTGAAATCAGGTTTTAAAAGTCATTAGGTTATTTTAAAAAATTTTAACGGTGAACTTACCTATTGCATGTCTGGCTTCAAAATCCTGTTTTTAAAACTCAAAATTTAAGTTTAAAAATAAAAAAAAATCTAAATAAGAATGTAAAAATTTTTTCTGATAAAAAAACAACACTAGCCTCGTATGCTTGACAGAGTGTTTTATTCAGAACATTCTTGAAATGAACCTCGCAAGTGAAATGAAACAGTTGTCAATATTCAGCTTGATGACTAGCATTGTTGGATACGTAGTTGAATGCGTTGCAAGTGATGTTACCATCAGTGGGAGAAACATAATGAGAACATTTGGAAGAACATTCCAGTAAGGATCGTATGTTGGTTAGTAGTGTGGTAGGTTCGGAAGAAAAACACATGAGGTTGTTTGGCTCTCCTATCATTCCATACTTCTTATCAACTGCTGATGCTAACGAGTTGATTGACGAGGATAAAAAACAAGCTAACAAGATTACTGCTTTCAGCAAATTTTGTATTTATTCATTATGAAATTATTTCAAATTTTTGAGTTTCACAAATTTAAATACAAATCACCGCTTATCTAATTGATAAACTAAAAAGTTGTTCTTCACTGCAAGACTATTATAATTCCTCGTCCTCTTCAGATAAATTTTTTAAATTAGAAACATTTTAAAACTTCAGCATGCAATATAAAAATCAATGAATAGAATAGTGAATATTTTCGACAAGAGATGTCAGAATTGTAGCTTCATACGTTTATCAGAAGACGCTCTCAAAACAACTGTAGAAATTTTTCATAAAAAATTGTTTTTCTTAAATTGGTTTTTTCTTCTTTTAAAATTTACTTTAGTGTGTGTGTTTGTTGTTTGCTTGCTCGTTGTTTGTATGTATGTATGTGAGAGAGAGAAAAGAAAGAGAGGAAGACTGTTAGTTCCTGTGTGAGGAGAAAGACAGTGTTTGTCTGTGTGCATTTGTGTGTGTACAGACAACATTCAAACATTCAATCGAGGACAATGTAGTTCTTTGCAAATACACTCTAGAAAAATGGAAGTACGACCACCTGATTGAGGTAGCACGAGAAATAAAACTCCAGGATGAGAAGCACTTTGCAGCATCCGTTTTGACAATGAGGAATCCATTATAAATAACTTCTCGTCGATAGTCATTTTCGTAAACCTTTCCCCACCTATTTAGCATTTCACTATTATTATTTTCATGGTTCCTCTTCTTCTTCTTATTATTATTTTGTTATTGTTATTGTTATTATAATTATTATTATAGTTATTATTATTGTTACTACTACTACTACTACTACTACTACTACTACTACTATTATTATCATTATTATTATTATTTCTTCATTATTAATAATATTATTATTTCTATTATCATTATTCCAGTGAAGATTGTACGATGGCCGGTGCGTTGTGGCGCGTCTGGAGACAGTGCCTCAGAGGCAAGGGTCACGTTAAATAAAAATCAAAATCAAAAATCAAAAATAGATTTTATTTGGAAAAATATTTCATTGTCCTGTAATAATTGATTTGATCAGAATCATTATCTTAGAACATGAAAAAACATGCACGGGTGCCTCCGAGGGCCAGTAGAGGTATGCATTTTAAGTGTATAAACATAATATAACAATAACTTTTTTTTATTCTTCATAATAATGCAGATCTGTCAAAGGCAGAACCGCTTGCATGTTATTCTATAGTCTATAATACTCATTGTAAAGCCACTGTGCCACAAATGTTGTACACAATCCACATGCACACTACCTATGCAAGCACTAAACACTGGATATAAGGTCTTTGAGTTTTAAAATTCGAACAAATTGGTTAACGTTGAACATTTTTCTATTTGAAAACAAATGTTTTAATAATTTTGCAGGTTCCTACTTTGGACACAATTTTTGAATAATTTTTTGGTAAGTTAATTATAAATTTTTTTCCCTAATACGTGACTTTTTCTCAGATTTTCAACTGCCCAGAGTTCCACAACTTTCGTCTCGCGTCAAAGCCTAACAGTAATCGTGTTCATTCAGCACTTGTTGAATAGAATACTAAGTAATAATTTCACATCAAAATAAAAAAAAATTGTCAAAGCACAAAAATGCAATCACATAAGGCACCGTGTAAAGAAGTTAATTTTATTATTAAAACCGCAATAATATTAATAATAATAATAATAATAAATATTCATTATTATTCATATTTTTGAAAGATTATAAAAGATTTTGTTGATGATGATAGAAGAGAGAGGTGGGTGGTTAGCTCTGATGGAGAAATATTAATGATGATGACGGTGATGATGATGATGATGTTGATAACGGCAGAATGACATGGTTTTAAGAATATTTAAAATTTTAATAACACTTAAAAACAACTATAAAACACGTTTCTTATATTTTCATAACTTAAAATATTTTTCATAATAAAAAAATTATTATAATTACTATCATTATTATAGAAATTTTTTAAAATTCTTTCAAAATCTTCTTAGATGTTCAACAACAAACACGTAGCCGGCAAAAACAACCGCAGCAGTTTAGCCATTACACAATCAAGCCATCCAAAGTTTTATGATCACGGTAAACACACAAACATACACACACGGACACGCACACATACACACACACACACGCACATCATCATCATCAAATGCCATTTAGAATAATGTACAGGTTAAAAAAATGAAAAATTAATAAACATAGAATGAAATTTAAAACATTTAGAATTATGAAAATGAAAGTTCAACGTTCAACAAATAACCGATATATATATATAATAATTTAATAATATAATAATAATATAAATAATAATTTGAATTGTAATAAATAATATTCTCCATGAATTTTTAAGAAATATGAATAAAAAAATACTAAAGAACACGTCGTTGATGATTGATTGTGGTTTGAATGGCAGGTGAATGTTTGTGGGTGTCTGAAGGAGGGAAAATGTTGCAGGCGATAGAGATGAGGAGAAATGATTCAGAAAGTGATGATGATAATGGGATAATGGTTGATGATGGGATAATGGTAGAAAATGACGGTGTGCGGCTTAAACTGCGGAAAATGATGATGACAAAGATGATAAAGACGATGATCATAAGAATAGCAACAACGATGGCGACGTTATGGTTAGCATTAAGACACTGATGGTTATAACGACAACGATGTTGATGATGGCGACGATTACGATGATGATTCCAGTTGACGATGACGTCATTATTTGTAGCTGCAGACGCCGTTCGTGATCTTGAAGTCGTCAATGGCTATTTCGCCGGTCAGTCCGCGGCCGATTGTGGCTTCAAAGATGAGCTGGTGGTCAAGACGATGATGACGTTGATAGTGATGATGAGGATGTTGATGTTGATGATGGTGATGATTTGCGCGGTTTCAATGATAATAATGATGAAAATGATGACGATGTTTGTGATGATAAGAGTGATTATGATGAAATAATGATGTCATGTGAGTCACCATCATATCATCATCACCACCACTGCAATAATCATCATCACTACCACAATCATCATCATCGTCACCCCCACAATCATCATCGTCACAGCTGACCTTGTAACCTGCCCTCACGAACTCTTTCTGGACGTTGACCTTGGCCTGGATCCACACGTTGCCCTGGTTGCCGGAAGCCCTCCATAAGTTGTCCTCCTCGTTTGTGTCGGGAATCTGATTGGTCGGTCATTTTTAGATTATTAAGTTATTCAATAAGTGATACCTAATCTGATTGGTCGGTTATTTTTAGACCATCTATCTATTTGAATCGCAATTCAAAATACAAAAATATAAAATTATAGAATTATTTTATTTGTTTACTTTTTTATTAAAATTTCTATATGTTCAGTTGTCCGTTCATTTGTTTACCTTTCCATTAATTCATCCACTCCTACTTTTCCATCCATTAATCCATTCATTCATTCATTCGTTTATCCATATATGTTTTTTCACTCCATCCACCCATCCATCCATTCATCCATTCATTCACCTCACCTTAGCAATAACATTGAGGTATCCAACATCACGAGATCCATGAATCCAGTAAAAAAATTCGACACATTGTTCCTCATAGCCAAACAGATGGGGCGAGATCAGGCGAGCTTTCTGGCCGTTTTCCTTCGTTGTAATGTTCACCACCAAGAAGTGACCTATTGTGATGGTATCCAAAAAATGGTAAATCTTGGATAGTATCCTAAAAATGGTAGATTTGGGATAGTATCCAAAAAATGATAAAATTGGGATTGTTGACCAAAAATGGTAAACATGGTTTATCCATATTTTATTTGTTAATATTTATTAATTCATATTCTGCATTCCATTCTATCCATCTTCTTTTTTGATATATCTATATATCCTTATTATATATTATCCGTATTATCCATATTTATATCTTTCAGTATCTAATCATTGACTCGGAAAACGGTTAAGATCGGAAATTCAAACTAAAGTTCGAGAATAACATCACAGTTACATTGAACCTCGAATCCATAACTAAACCACACATCATTCGGTATCATTCCGCAAGAGATATATTTACATATCAAATCAATACACAAATTACATGGCTTTTATCCAGCACATAAGTTACATATCTTTTATCCGATGCTTAAATTACATACCATTCCTGCTTTCACAGGTGTGATCGACATGAGGTGCATATTTGGTGTTGTTTCGGGAGTTACTCCATATCCAATCAACGTTGTCCAGGTAATCCTGACTAAATCCGCAGATTCTCTCGTCTTCAAATTCACAGTGGCCCAACATTTGGTCTGGAAGTTTTGGAATTATATTTTCAGAATTTTTTGTAGAAATGTAATTTTTGTGTGTAAGTGCTTTAATTAAATTTGTAAGATGAATATTGAATGCAACTATTAACAACAAAATTTGACGATACAAATGAAATAAAAATAGCCATAAATCAGCACCACACGAAGACACTACGCACACTTACACATACACACACACGCACACTCACACATACACACACACACACATGCACACAAACACACCCACACACTAATGAAACAGTTAGGAAATCCATTAAATGCACTTCAAAATATGGGCCATAAGAAGGAAAAACAGCTCTTACATAAAGGGGAAGAATGTTTCAATATTTATCTAAAAATATGTATATAAACTTGTACAGATAATACGTTTGTATTAGTATACACATATAAACACACATACATAAACAACAAATGCCTATACCTATTTAAACATACAGAAGACAGTTAAAATTTATGAACGTAAAAAAATGTTATAAATCTGCTAGAACGTTTTTGACTTGCCATGAATAAATAAATCATCAATGTTTGATTTGATGTGTTTAAGTTATCTATGGAGAGAGAAAAACCCCCTAATAGATTAGTTCTCCTTCAGATGATGGTGATGAATAGAGAGAAAGAGAAAGAAAGAGAGAGAAAGAGAAAGAAAGAGAGAGAGAGACAGTCACATCGCAACACTAACAGACAGTTTTTTATGTTTTAACACATTCAAGGTTTTACATGATGCTATCGCCAAGAAGTCATAACTTTTCACTTCAATTTTCCGACATACCAACATAATTTGCTTTGTTTGAAAAGTGAATGATGTAACACTTGTTGAAATGTTTCTACACTACTGAGTAGCACCGTTTTTTTGTTTATTGTGTTCATAGCCATAATTATTTTACATTTGTACTTTGGCGTAACCATTTTTGTCAGCATTTTATCAGCAATTCGTTCGTCGCTTCTTTATGATATCTTCATCATTCTTTTATTAACTAACAAATCACAATTATCAACATCATCTTCATCCGCCTTCTTCTCATCACGGCCAATAAACTTCTTGCTAACAATTATATCGCAAAAATATTAATTGTTACACGATTGTATATTTCAGCTGCAAATTGAAAGGTTAACCGTCATAAATTTTTTAAGATTGGTGAGTGTTTATAAAATTTTTAAAACAACGGCTTATTTACTGTTATAAAAACTCAACAGCAGAAACTATAGAAAAATTTTTTTATCAACAATTCTAGATAACTTTTTGTTTTCCAACCTATATTTACAAGTTGCCTGCCATTCATTATACAAAAATGGCTGCATTCGGGTGTCGAAAGAGTTTAGTTGTATGTCCGGATATTAAACATTATGTACAACAGTGTATTATATTCATCTTCAGCCTTCTATTAATTTTCAATTATTTTTTTTTATATTCCACACCAGCGTTTTCGAGTTGCTAGCCTCAACCACACTAACTTCACCACAACAAATCATTAATCACTCAATCGTCATAATCATCGTTTGCTAGGCCGTATCGCATCAAATCGCTTTAAAAAATTTATATGGCGCCTATGGTGAATTAGCTTCAAACGAATCGTATCATCATAATTATCATTACATTGAAGCTATCAACTTGTTGTCAACATAATTTTGCTGGCAACAACCTCTACTCACAATCAATCATTGAGTTTACTAATGGTTGGTTATGCTGTCCTTATGACAGGCACGATTCGCGTGTATGTATGTATCCTTGCCTATTTCGCACTATTTTTAATTTGTATCTACCACCGTCGTTGCCAACTATACCACCAGCCACCACCAGCACAAAAGGAAGTCGCAGCACTAGCCACACCAGCCACACCACAACGACTACTAACTAGTGATGCACAGATCCAACTTCCCCCTGATGACGTCAATGAGGGTGACCTGATGGTTGAACTGACTGCCCAGCACTCGTAACTCGTCTCTACTCTCTTGCAGTTCGTACGTCTTGTTCTCATATTTCTCTTTCTCCTCGTAGTACAAACTATAGATTACGTTATTTGTGGTGGTTACGGTAGCGACAAGAGCAATTTCGGTTGTAGTGGTGAGGGGGGGTTTTAGTGGTGGTAAGGACAATTTTGGTGGTGGTGACAGCTATTTTGGTGGTGGTTACAGCAATTTTGGAAAATATTGGATATCGGAGTGATCTAGATAGCGAAGCATTCATGTATAGAGTTTAAACACAGAAGAACTGATCCGAAAAACGTTACAGATTGACACTCGATAGCATCATGCAAAAATAAAAACACAAACACACACAGAGAGATATTTAAACGAACCTTGTTACATGGTGCGCCAGATCGGTTTGAGATTGAAGATCTGATCGGCAGACGTCATGCTTGGCTGACAACTCAGACAGTTTGTGTGACGTTTCGTAGTAATTATTAAGCGCTACATTGAGGTTTTTCCTGTTTTTTTGGTTGATTGGTCGGTTGGTTGGTTGGTTGATTGGTCGGTTGGTTGGTTGGTTGGTTGGTTGGTTGGTTGGTTGGTTGGTTGGTTGGCTGGTTGGTTGGTTGGTTGGTAGGTCGGTCGGTCGGTCGGTCGGTTGGTTGGTTGGTTGGTTGATTGGATGGTTTGTTTGTTAATTGATAAAATGAGAAATTTTTACTTTATAAGTAGATGAAAAATATATCTAGTGTGTGTGTGTGTGTGCATTTGTGTTTGTGTGTGTTTGCATGTCTGTAGGCATGTCTGTGCTCTGATGAGTGTGAGAAAAAAATTTTAAACGTTTGGTGTGTGTGTGTGTGTGTGATTTTGTATGTGTATGTGTGTGTGTGAACTACGTACGATAATATTTATAAAAACCTCCTTTCAAATAGTGGCCTTATTCATAGCAACTGAAATGAAACTGTCTTTAACGATCAAAAAAACATTTTGGCAGCCATTGGGTCTAAGAAATTTTCCTTTTAATTTTTTTAGCCCTTTTTAATTTTCGCATCGTTAACCGTTTCTTTTATTGTCAGATTTTTTTCAAAAATATGATTAAAATTTATCTTGAAACTTTCTGTAGCGTTTCTCCAAATACGTTTTTTCGTATGTATGTACTTCATCGCCCTGATCATTATCATCAAGATCACCACCCTGATCATCATCATCACCCTGATTATCATCATCAACATCACCCTGATCCTCATCATCATCATCATCATCATCATCATCATCATCGTTATCATGTCAATTATGTCATTCTCATTTACAAGTAAGACATTTAGATGAATAAATTATCGTTTGACTCGTTAAACGTTGAACTTGAACGAATTTCAGGCTAAACTTAAACAATGAATGAACGAACTAACGAAAGATAGAAAGAACGAGCAAATGAATGAATAAATCATTATCATTTCCATCATTTTCATCGTCGTCATCGCAACAAAAATTGTCATTTTAAAAACAATTCCCTAGATAAAACTCAATCCAAGATACTGCAACACATAGCAACAACAACAATAACAACCGCAACAACAACATCAACAACAACAACAACAACATGTTAGAAAGCTCAACAGAGTGTAACAATAGTTATAAATGGCAAAGATAAATACTAAACAACAGACGAAAATGCATAACATAACGAAGGAAAATATTGTGTAAATAAAACTTACTGAACCACAGGACATACAACTCGACATAATTACATCAGCTGCATCACAAACAAAGCCAAAAAACATCAACAACTGAAACATCAACATTAAAAACAACAACTACAACAATAATAACAATAATAATAATGAGAAAAAAAGAGGAACAATACAACAGCAATAACAACAACAACAGCAACAACAACAGGTTTTTACATAATTGAACGTCACCAAATTAAAAGTTCTTCACCAAACAATGGTAACAGTTACGTATTTTCCCACTCTTACAAAATGTTTTGTCTCTCTCTTCTTCTCTCTCTAATTAGTTTTTTCTTTGTTTATCATTCATTCATTCTTCCATCACAACGTCTATCTAATCAGAGTTTGTTTTCCTCACTCTATTCACCTTCATTCATCCATAAGGCCAAATTATTCTCATAAACTCATAAATTTATTTCATTCAAGTGAAAGTCAACTTAACTTTCCATCCATCCATTAATTCTTTTATCTATCCATCCATTAATTCTTTTATCCATCCATCCATTAATTCTTTTATCCATCCATCCATTTTCCGTCTATCAACCTATTCAAGAGTGCGCGCGCGCGTGTGTGTGTTTGTGTATCTGTGTGTGTGTTGTGTGTGTGTGTTACAATGATCCATAAATAAATGTGTGTCCCCTCCTAGCCTTAATTTATGAAACGCAAACAATACGTAATTGAAGATATGTCAACACTGTAACATGTAAGTGTCTGTTGATGTTATATTTTATTATATTTGATAAATAATATTCAATATTATTAAATATTATATATAAATCAAAGTATATTTGATGATATTTTGTTAGATATGTGTGTATGTGTGTGTGTATTGTCGGATTGAAAATCCTAGCGATTAAAAAGACTAATAAATAAAAAAACATCACGAAATAAGGAGTTGATTTGTGCGGGCTTCATAAGAAAACTGCGATAACTATTTTGATAGGTATTCGGGCTGCTGATGAGTCCCCGGTAGGGACGAAACACGTGTCCAGCCTATCCAAATGAATACTATTCTTTTCTTCTCCCGCTCACTGCTCTTCTGGTTCGGTGTTCTCATCATCAAACGCAACCGCAACAGTATGTGTCTTTTTGTTCGTGTGTTTTTTCGTTTGTTTGTTCATGAACTTGTGCGTGTGTAGCAACTGATCTTTGTGTTTCACTGCATAGATTGTTACATCATGTGGTTTTCTTATTACGTAAGAAATTACGGAGAATAGTTGTGTGAAAAATAAAACATATAAATCAATCTGGATGTCTTTTTGGAGGTACTTCATTCCCTGGCTAGATTGACGGCGCTTGTACGAGTACCAACCATGTTTAACCATTCTTAGTCCGGTATATTTTCATCATTTTATAACCTTTTCTTGCACGCTGTGAAGAATTCTACCTCTGATTTATTTAAAGAATGATGAATGATAGTAATGTTTTCAAATGAACTGAGTGAATAAATTATGATAATTTTGGCGGGAACATCAGCCCGCCAAAAATGTTCCTCTCTCTCCCAAACTTCTCGCTACATTTGGACTCGCAAACTTGGCCTGCTATGCTAATTGTTAGCACATTCCTTCTGGCGGCTGTTGGCATTACGTAATTATAATGTTGATGTTGACGGACGCTGTTACGTAAATAATGATAATAGTGGAGTAGTGTTATTGTTATTATTGTTGTTGTTGTCATTATTATCACTGTTATTATTCAGTAATGTTCTTAGGATGATGACGACGACTATGATGTCTGTGGAGATTCGGATGTTTTGCATTGTTAGTGATAAGAGATGAGGATGATGTTTTGGGTAAAGATGATGATGATGACAGTGATGATGATGGTTATGAATGTGATGGAGATAATGATGAGTATGATGGAGATAATGAATGTGATGAAGATGATGATATTTTTAATGGTTCTGATGGATGTCGATGATGGTTAAGAAGATGATGATAATGTCTGATGAAAATGTATGATGACCTATATATTAAATTGTATGTGAGATTTGGCGCATACACACACACACACACACACACACATAGGACATGAAGACGCACAAACACACTCACACATACAAAAAATTCACAACTTTTACACACGTGCATTAGCACATATTATAAACGGTTGAGCTATTAAACTACAACGACGTGTGATATATGACAGAAGTTGTGTTTGTATGCTTGCATGTATGTATGTTTGTTTGTTTGTTTTTTTGTATGTTCGTTTGTGTGTTCGTTTGTCTGCTTGCTAGTTTGTGTGTTTGTATGTTTGTGTATATATCTACGTCTGTATCAATGTTTGTATGTATGTATATATGTATTTATGATTTTGTCTTCTATATCAATAGAAACAAGTGAGGAAAACAATCTTTATAAGATCTTCCGCAAAAAATCTACCTGACAATATAATAATAATAACTAATTTAGTTATATATCGCTTTTGAGATAAAAATTCACATTTTGGTTAAAACATTATCAGCCTTTATTCCATTTTGTCATCCACTTATTCATTCATCACTTCACCGATCTATCCATCTATAAATCCATCATACTGTTCATTCATCCATCAATGCATCCGTCTATCCGTCAATCCGTCCTTCAATCATAACACTCATCCAACATTTAATATGATTTCTCCGCGATTTAGTCTATCTACCTTATACAAGCTCGCAACAGGCTAAACATTTCCTTGCAGTGACTCAACAAAACTTAAAACAACAACAACACAAAGAGACCTATATGAAGAATTAATAAACATAATAAATAACATTAACAGTATTGAAAATTTGAAGAAATATCTTAATATTAATACTTTAATTTATTTAATTCATTTAATTATTAATTTATTTATTCTTTTGTAGTCAAAGCCATTGGCTAAATTAGAAATTAATTGAAATATTTTTAATATTTATTCTTTAATTCAAAACATCGAAAGAAAATCGATTCTTACTTTGAGTTTTCAGTTTCGCGAATGCAAATCAGTATGTACTAAAGATAAACAACCATTCAGTCGACCTATTCATTCCAAGACACGTAGAATATCTTAATAGAGCCAATAACATCTGTCAATTGGAAGCTTTTTTGGTTGAGAAAAACATTTTTCGGCAGTTTTATTTTCATATTGTCATATGCACATGTCATTTTCGTTACCTTACCTTATTGTTAAGTTTTTTTTTCATGTTGATATTAATATATGTTTACCAGAAATTTCTTGTATGTTGCGTGTACGTATGTATGTAAGTATGTTTGTTTGTATGTATGTGTGTATGTATGTATAAATGTATGTATGTATGTTTGTAAGTGTGTGTATGTATGTATGTTTGTATGTATGTATGTGTGTGTGTGTATGTATATATGTATGTATGTATGTATGTATGTATGTATGTATGTATGTATGTATGTATGTATGTATGTATGTATGTATGTATTTATGTATTTATGTATGTAGGTAGGTAGGTAACAGATTCTATCAACACAAACAATATGCACAAAAATATTCACATAACATAGACAACATAAACAACTTAACATACAAAACAGTCTCCTCTTACATGGGCAGACCATCAACATTGTTTGCATATCAAAGATATTTTGTTTATCTTATTGCCTTACATGAGAACTTCCAGCACGAACAATACCATAGCTATCAATTTATCCGTATAATAATGATTCACAAACGTCATTTCATCATTCATAAATAACTTTTCATTTCCATCATAACATTTTTATATATTTCTTATCTCTGTTATTCAACATATTATTTATTGTATGATATTACTATTAGTAGTGTAGTAGTAGCAGAAGCAGCAGCAGTAGCGTTAGTAGTTGCAGCAACCTAAAAACAGCAGCTGTAGAAGTAGTGGCAGTAGCATCGGTAGTAGTAGTAGTTGTTGTTGTTGTAGTAGTAGTTGTAGTAGTAGTAGTTGTAGTAGTAGTAGTAGTAGTAGTAGTAGTAGTAGTAGTAGTATTTGTAGTAGTAGTAGTAGTTGTTGTTGTTGTTGTAGTAGTAGTAGAATTGCCAAAAAGTAATAGTAATGACAGTATTAATACTATTTAATTATTATTAGTAGTTTTACTTTATTTTTTATATTTTTTTCTTGCCATTACTTAATGTGTTGAAGGAAGAAAAAAAGACACGAAATGATTAATCGATTTATAACGGTCGTCACTCAGATGCTGACTGACGTAACTGTTGACGCAACTGATCGTGTTGTTGACGTCATTGTCAATTAATCATCCTAGACTTGTCGGTTATTTGAAAAGTTGCATAAATTTTTGCTCTCATGAATTTTAATAAGATGTTTCAATCTAAATCAGCTTAAAACCACAAATAATTTTTCTGAATTTAAATCTCATTCGGCGTGAAACCACAGATACTCAAAAAAAAACGGAGTTGCAATAAAAACAAAACCCTGGATGGAATGTTTTCATGTCCTATAACTAACCCCCCTTGATAAACAATACACATCAAAAAGAGTTATTCACTTTGTTCAAAAGTTCCAAGATAAAAAGATACAAGATACAGATACAAGATACAAATACAACACAAATACAAACACAATACAAATACAAAACAAATACAAATACAAGATACAAAAAGGTTAGCATAGGAAATAGGGATTTGTTAAATAGTAGTTGTAATGCAAAATAACTCAACTCAACCAATACCACGGAATTTCCAAGAATGTTCTCTAACATTCAGCCAGTACAAAAATGCAACAACAACAAAAAACGAACAAACTCCATTAAATCAATTGGTTCTACATTTATTATCACGGTGTCGACGACAAATAACACTTTGATTGGTAGTCTGTTTTATGTTTTTATAACTGCAATTATCAACTATTTATTATTATTATTATTTTATTGGTGTTTCTATCATTTTTTTTATTGTTATTTTTACTTTTTTTGTTAATTTTATTGTTATTTCCATCATTGCTGTTGTTATTATTGCTGTTGTTATTTATCATGTCTAGTTAGACGTAGGAACAGGTTTTCTTGAATTGAAATATTGAAACGTTTCGTTTACAAAAAAATTGAACTTACAAATCGCAAAAATTTGGAGTAAATAAACTTTCAAAATAAATATTAGACACCACTTTTACATTTTCCATCTAATCTTTTGGAAAAAATACGATAAAAGGAATCAGAAACAAAACAAAAAAAAACCACTTTAGCTAGATTCAGGCTCAAGAGTTATAGGATTAAAATAAGATCAAGTGCCTTGCTTTGCTACGTTACTCTATGTTATGCTTTATCCTGTTGTGTTAAATTTTGGTAGATGAGAAGAATAGAGTTGGATTCGGAAAATGTACTACTACCTGGCAATACTTGAAATAAATGAACCATGAACTACGAACCAACTACGAACCATGTTTGATTTAATGGGTGGAATGTTTAATTTTTAATAAAATACAAAATAGAGAGAATAAAAAACTTACTTGAGACCATCAGCTTCAAAAGTCTTGTTCTGAAGTTGGCTCTTAGTTGATGCCAGTTCTGATTCAACGACGGACAGGTTGTTTCGTAAAATGGTGAACTGTCTGTACAATCTGTCGGTTGGTTGGGTGGTGTTTTATGGTGGGTAGTTGGTTGGTTGGATGGTGTTTTATGGTGTTTAGTTGGTTGTTTGGGTGGCTGTGGGGTGTTGTTTATGAGGGGTGAAGGTGGCTGGCTATTTGAAAAACTTTTTGATTGAGCGATTGAATAATTAGTAATCAAGTGATTGAATAAATGAACTGTTTGACTGAAAATGAATTTAAATTTGTTTGAACAAGCTTTAATTTTGTTTAACGTAAGCTCTTAAATCGTTAATTAAAAACATTTCAAAATTCACANAAAAAAGCTTTCATCCATTAAAGTGACGTTTTTTTATTAATTTTGTAATGCAAAATCGCGGCTAAATATTCATTAAAAGTTTTATCTTAAGTAGTTTTAACTCGCTTTTCTAAGAACGCATACATACATGTGCATACATACACACATACATACATACATGCATACATACATACATACATACATACATGCATGCATACATACATACATACATACATACATACATACATACATACATACATACATACATACATACATACATACATACATACCAGGGACCAGGGACATAGATAAAAGTTGAACTCGGAAACTATTGCATGCCTAACCATGGTTTCTTCATCAAAACGAGTTCATACATACATACATACATACATACATATATACATACATACATACATACATACATACATACATACATACATACATACATACATACATACATGCATGCATACATGCATACATATATACATACATACTACATACATACATACATACATACATACATA